ATTATTTTAACTTATGAGATAGTATCTTGCTAAGTTGCTTCATATGGCATCCAACTTGTGATCATCTTGTCTCAAACTCCCAAGCCATGGGAATTACAGGCAGATGCTACACAGTGAAACAGCTGTTTTTCAATATGAATAAACTTGTACTAACTGGAAAATTAACATTGAGCCTCAAAATATTTTCCTGAAACTTACAATAATTAAAGAATCATAAATGGCAGTACAGATTTTGTAATCAATAAACATTTTTCAAGATTAAATTTTAAACTTCAATCCTTGCATATAGTCCATTAAATCACCATAAAAAATGATACATCTTTCTTTTTCCTAATGATTTTAAACAAATGCTATCCTCAAATTCTTAAATTCACCTGCTTTTTTTCTGTGACATATATTTAAGAATTTTATTTATGTACAGTCTGCACTACAGGCTTTGTAGCCATACTCCTTTGAAGGTGGCATTCCCACAAAATATGAAATAACAAAATGTTCCTTATGATGGTATGTCTGTAGGTTAACATTAAAACATCTTTCAACAGACTGGGCACTCTAAATTAGAATGAGAAGTTTTTTGTCTTATTAGTTTATACAATTTTTTTTTCTTTTCAATTTGGGGGTGTTACTGTATGTCTACTGATAGAAAAATAAGTTAAAAAATAACATTTTCCAACTTCCAAAAAGTTATAAAAGGAATATTTTGTGTCTTGCCTAAGCTAGTTATCCGGAGACCCTCACATGAAATACAAAGGCATGGAGAAAGAGAAATTCTCCACTCTTCCAGTTTGATATTATGTTCTGGAGGAGAAATTCCCCACTCTTCCAATTTGTGATTACATTCATAACCCCTCAGACCTGTTAATAGTTTAATCTAAAAAAAGTCTTGCATTTGAATTATAACTGTTTCATTATTTCATGGATAAAATTATAAGGCAAAGTATTACAGAGTTTCTTTTGGACAAAGCAGTAGTTGTGTTTTAGCATCACCATAGAGCAGCAGCTGTTTCATCTCCAGAACTATGCAAGACCTTTTATCTATAGATTCTGAAAAAGAAACTATAGCTCTTCTTTGGTCTCCCATGAAGAAAAATCCAAGTAGATCTACATATAATTGCCCAGGGGATACTATAATCAAGTCTTGAATCTCTGTTGACTGATTTGGGGGGCTATAGAAAGAATGTAATACTAAGATTTATTCAGGATCTGTTTTCTTTTCCCAATTCTGTGCTGGTAGCATGTTTTCCCCTAATATATACTCAAAATCACATCACAATATTACATTGAAATATATTTTGATAAAATAATTTATATTTTCTAAATGAGAGAATGATTTATGAAAAATAAAATTATTTTAAAAGCTATCTTGCATAATTAGAATGTATGATGCCTGACAATTACTAGAATTTATAATGAAGATTACATTATATTTTCTGGGTCAATATATAGAGGTGACATAGTAATTAAGATTGTAGAGTAAATATTTCAAGTTTTAGAATCATTCAAGCTCTACAGTTCTGAATTAATGGTAGACATGATGCTATAGTTAGAGCATACAGTAGTGTTGAACTTAAAACAGCTACATCTTGGTGGAGCAGTAATTTCACTTGAAAAACTTGGATTTAGCATTCTCATCTTTTGCAAGAGGAGCTAAGGTGGAACATAAAGATTTGCAAGTAGCTCCCATTTTACAATCCAGTAAAGCTCTGATATACTACTTTTACAACATTTTATTGACTATAACATTAACATGCATGCATTATACCTTTCAGAAACGTAAAAAAAATTTTTTTGAAATTTTATCCACAAAGAAATGATAAATATTTGAGGAGCTAAAAATGTTTAATCTTATTTAAACATGATGCAATACATCAAACATTTTATGATACCTCATTAATATATAAAGTTTATATTTTGTGTATCAGTTGATGAAATTGAAATGTATTTCAATCCACATGGAGTATATAATTATAAAAAGACCAGGAAAAAATAAGAAAGGAATGTTGCTTCTCATTTATGCCTTCAAGAGTAAATGAAAATAGACTACTACATTAACTTCTCTCTGAAACTTTAATACTAACCTACAAAGTAAGTGTTATGATGTTGGTTTATACATGAAGGAATCCAGGACCTCAATTCCACCATTGATTCCCTCATATGTGAGGGT